GGTTCTGGAATTCCTTAACACGTTGGACTACAATTACACTCGATCACCTTGCCGCGCCAGTGCACCTCCAGGGAAAAGTCTGCCACCGTGAAACGTAACCAGCTGTATCCTTAGAAGTAATCCCGAAGGCGGTAATCGTCGTTGAGGTCGACGTCGAAACGTGGTGTGAGCTTCCCAGGTGCAGGCTCGGCGGCTCCCGAAGTCGGGAACGAGCCAGGAAAGCAGGGGCATTAACTACACCCTGAGCTATTGTTCCGTTTCGTTTCGTTCCCCGAGCAACCCCCGCCTTACATCCCCGCGCAGGATCCCGAGCGTAGAAGTTATCATGTCGGCTATAAAACAATACGGCCCTGTTACCCAGAGAGAGAGAGCATATTGCGGTTATTGTTAAGCTTAAGCTCCAGCAGGCCGACCGGCTGGTTCGATGTTTCTCCGGTTTACCGTGGAAACCGGAGTTCCTTAACCGCCGACCATCATCTAGATCCTCGCCCGCTGCCCAATGCCATCAGCTCCCTTCGCGTTTACGCCGGTTAAACCCCACCCAATGGGCCAACTTCTGGACATCCTGCCTCTAACCGTGCACCAGGCGATCGGAAGTCCTGAAATTCGAGTCTCGAGCCTTTGGACGACGGATACGATGGATTGACAGTGGTCGGAACGCCCTGTCGAACGAGCCGGGTTGCAGGGTATCGGGACGAAATCCTTTTAGGAAGGAGGCGAAGGTACACTTCTGGGACTCGACTCGAGGAACGGGAAAGCGGAGGTGTTCCTGCCGGGGAAAGGAATACGCGCCCGGCGAACATAGTGATTTTTTTATTGGCTTCCTCGCCTCCGTCCCTCTCCGGCAAGGAGATCGCACAGCTACAGGGTTCCCGACCTATTCCGGAATCTCCCCGAGGTTCCGCTGCGACGGGGTGTCTCGCGATTTATGCAAAATGGTACGCGGCTCCCGAGGGAGCTCCTGGGGCAGCCCTCCACCCGACGTTGGATGGGAAGGCGGGATGAACGCACCAAACCCCTCGTGGAGACGAGCTGCCAGGAGCGAGGACCTCCAGCGGTGAGATGTAGAACTTCGCGTTCCTCTTTTCGCGTCTCCGCGGGTGCTTCTCGCATATACGGGAAGACGCTCGATTCCTGGCCGCGATCCCGGGAATCGATCGCCTGCCCACGGATCTCGGGCGTCCAAACGAGAGGCAAATAGCCGGCCAAAGGGGCAGAATGGAGCGAAAGGGAACGTCCGATTAGAATACTTGGGGGAGGGGATTGTACATTTTGACTCGGGCACGTGCGCCTCCTCGCAAATGGACGCCCAGTGGCGGATGATCGAGGGCCCGTGAATCATTTAATTTAATAACCTCGTGGGGGTTAATAGAGGAGATAAAAGTGACTGCGACCGAGAGTCGGGTATAATATTCGCAGCAGGGGACGCTCCTACAGGTCTCCGTGGAATTAACGATTCGACCACCTCCCCCTAAACAGTCCCTCCCCTGAATCAGGCTCCAAGGTTCCTCGGGACGCCCGAAAGCCCCGAAATTCACCCAAAATTCGCCCCGCCTCGGGAAATCGGTAAATCTCGCGAGGGGTGGATTAATTTCGGGCGACTCTTTAAAACGTCCCCGCGACTGCCAGAAGGGGGAGACCAAATGCGTTCGTCGCGACCGATTTAATTTCATAAACCGCAACTGTTGCCTCTATTCGGTCCTCCGGCACTAACCGTTATGCTCCATTCCATTTCGGAACCTACCCCGCACCCCTCGGGCGTTTCTCAATTTAAGGGTGGATTACCGGCGAAGGGAAGCTCCTGAACTCCTAGTCAGCTTTTGGCTCGCCTTTTCGACCGATATAACGCAGACCTCGTGCTCTCTGCTTCTTATCACCGCTTCTCGACCTCCACCTTCGGATCTATATCGATCTCTGAACGCTAAATCGCTAATTTCCTTACGGAAAAACCTATAACCAGAGAAACGGAGGTTTCTGATACCACGTCGCTTGACCATCGATCATGACCTCGAGGCTGGAACGACGTCTAGGATCACGGGGAGTTTCTCTTTTGGTAATTTTGACGCGCCGCCATATTAACGATACTCCAATGATACGAGGTCCCCGAGGAGCAAAAGTGTCCCTCGGCTCATTGTATGCAGATGAAGAAGGCAGGGCGACAATGACTACGCGGGTCCACCCGGGGCGCCCTCTTTTGCCACTCTTTCTCTCCAGACGCAACGTTCTCCTCCTATCCTCTCCGACATCGTTTCTCCTTCTTCAGCGTAGGAATGCCGCGCTGGAGACATCGACCATGGCTACGTGGTATCGGAATAATTTCAACGGCGACGCCGGTTTCGGTACCGCCGGTATATGGTTGTACCATCCACCAATCGCGAACGGTGCCCCGACACCGTTCCCCGTCGAGCACCATCTCCGGCACGTTCCCTGGCACCCCCTACGGACATTTATGTATATGGTCTCGCTTAACCCACGAGTACCACGTGCTCATACATTAAGGTGTCATCGGCCGTAACCGTGAGCGATCGACGGGACCAAGGTCCTGGCCAGAAGACGAAGGACCCCCACGATCCGGCCCATCATCCTTCTTCCCGAGTTTGCTCGGACTCGATTCGAGTTTCCTCGCCGGAATACTCAAATTCGGAACTTTTCCAGGACTTTTTTGGGCCGATTTGAGACGCTGACACCTGGGGTAACTGTCTAGTTATCCGGTGTCGTTTGTAGGGGGTTGTTCGTTGCACGGAGGGCAAGTAACGGTCGTCCTCGCCTCCTTCGGCGCCGTGTCTACAGCCACGCAAAGGATACACGTGGTGCATCGGTTGCTCGTCAGAAGACTCGATTCGAGTCAAATTCGGGACGTTTCCAGGGCTTTTTGGTCTGATTTGAGGGCCGAGGGGTAACTGTCTAGTTATCCTGTGTTCTTTGTAGGGGGTTGTTCGTTGCGCGGAGGGCAAGTAACGGTCGTCCTCGCCTCCTTCGTCGCCGTGCCTACAGCCACGCGAAGGATACACGTGGTGCATCGGTTGCTCGTCGGAAGACTCGATTCGAGTCAAGTTCGGAACTTTTCCAGGGCTTTTTTGGTCTGATTTGAGGGCCGAGGGGTAACTGCCTAGTTATCCTGTGTTCTTTGTAGGGGGTTGTTCGTTGCGCGGTGGGCAGGTAACGGTGGTCGTCGCCTCCTTCGACGCCGTGCCTACAGCCACGAGGATGGATACGCGATGCGGTGGATCGGTAAACCGGTCACGTAGTGCTCGATGAATGGACCCGCCGAGTCGAGCCTGGAGCCGGGAATTGGCTACTGGGCATACCACCGACCACCTACCCCGCGCCGCCGTGGCTTTAGCCACCCCGAGCGAGCTGAAATTACTCAGGGGTGCTCAAAGCGATCCAAGCACAGCATCATCGACCCCGTTCGATCGCCGAATCCGTTTAAATCCACGAAACGACGGGGAACGCAGGAACTCGTCAACGTGGCTCTATACCAGCCGTGATCGCAACGTCGACCTATGAGGGGTTGATTTCTTCGCTCTTTATCGAAATCGCCGAACGACAAGGGACGCGTTTTGAAAATGGAGGAATTCCTAGTCGGTTGTGTTCGATGGTGACCGAGAACGCAACGTCGAACCATGGGGGGTTGATTTCTGGGGCCGGGAAGGGTAGAACCGAGAAGCGGGAGGCCGAGGGTGTCATGGGACGCAGGACTGGTCGCCTCACACTTAACTCGGGATTTGGGACTCGGGGGTAGTTAACCCTCGGGATGGGTTATGAAATGACTTTATGGTAGATCAGAGGCTTGCTTTAGATTGCGCAAAGGGGTACGAGGGCGTAACGCGCGACCGGGGTTGCACTTCCACCCCATGGTCTGCCGATTACGGGGGCGCGAGGGATGCGGTCCTCGCAGGGGTGACAACGACGTCGACGAGGACGTCGGAAACCCCATTTCCCCGGGATCGCCCATTGGCCCTTCCGATATTTCCCTGGAAATTCGAGAAATCGTTTCCGAAGATTCGCGCCCACTTGTCGCTCCATCGCTATCCAAGGTGTGACCCTTTGAACGATATCTGCTTCGCTTCAGCAATTCCCACCCTCTTCCCCCTACCTTATACTCTCACATTCTTGCAAGTTTACTCATTGCATCGATATTTTTTCCAACTACCGCGATAACGTACCAACTTGCCACGATTTATCCATTATGTCGACATTGCGCGCTCTCCGTCTGTGGGGAGTCTCCAGGGTCGGTGCAGAAATCTGCAGCAGCCGTTGCCCAGGACTTTTACAGCACTCGAGGGTTGGGAAAGCTCCCGGGAGCTCGGCCTGGAATTAAAAAACGAATCTCGGAAGTAAATCAAGCTAAACTGTCAACCCAACGTCGCGAGGTCCTTCGGCCCCTGCCGGGTAAACTTCAACCCTTCCGCGTTAATTGCGGATCGCAGATGCGAACAACGGCGTCCATTTGCCGGCCCAGCACTCTTTCTTTAAGTTTTTCTTTCCCGCTCCACGGTCTATTTTCAAGCGATATTTCAACAGACTGGATGATTTGTCTATGGCTGCTTAGTTAATCCGACTGTCGGCCGTTTCCACTGTGCAAGGAAGTCTCCATCGGGACCGGAAGGGTGTCTAGAACCTTACCGATGTTGCCAGGAAGAACCTAGGGCCTTCCCTTGTCCCGCCACCATGGGACGAGCTAATTTTTCCCCCTGACAAAGTTTGCCCCCTTTATGCCCCCGTAAAGTCGGGTTCCTCGTTCCCGACGCTGCGTTTCCACCCTCGGGTTCTCGGCTCGTCGATGCCCAACAATGCGGAAAAGCGGCCCCGTAACTCTTTCCGTGGACATTACGCCCTGGTTCCGAGAAAAAGGAAGACAAGGCGTCATTACGGAGCCAGAAAGAGACAGCTCGAGGGCGGGGGTCGCGGGGCGGAGAGAGAGGCGAGATCCTCCGGCTCGGTGGAAACTGCCGCGTAAACGGGCCCCGATGTGAACTACATAATGGCGAGTCTGGTACATAAAATAGGAGTCTTTATTACTACCCACTTACTCGGCTACAACGTTTAACATTGATTTAATTACAACTCGATCGTATTATCCACTACGGGTAATCATAATAGTTTCGCACTGGCGTAATGCTCGGCCTCCTCGCCGGAGGGAGGGAGGGAAACGCTAATCTCGCTCCTGGATTAGCCCGGCGTGCCGTCCACTAATGCCGCAACCTGCGAACAAAAAGTAGAAAACGCACAGATAAATATTCATAGTCGACCGAGTCGAGCGTAACTATGATATAGAGCCTTCGGTCGACTATCGGAGGGAAAATGGCCGACAAGGTCGCCAACGTGGCGAGGATTTCGCACGCCGTCGAACTACTCGTTACCTACATCCTAACTACGTCACACCTTAAATCCAAATATTCATCAAATCCATGCACTTTTAGTCGACAAGATGACAGTACGCCCCGTTTAAAAAAAAAAAAATTCATACACTGATAGTACATAAGATTGCAGTAAAATTATAAATTTGATGCCTTAATCGACCCCGGGAGGCGGATTTGGATTTGGCGCGACACTCGAAATATTGATAAAATCCACGGACTTTTAGTCAACAAGGTGACAATAGAATACCATGCCCGAGTATAACTTTGAAGAAAAATGTTATAAAATTGTAACATTCTTTTTTCGACGCTCGATTGGATTTAGCTTTTTCCAAAACGAGGCGTGGAGGTTAGGAAAGCAGTGGGAAGATGAAGACCGAGAGAGATCCTCGGTTTGGCTCCGGATGCTGGAGGGTTCTTCGGGGATCTCGCTCCTGGGGGATATCTTAGAGAGGCGATCTCCGGGGCAGGGGAGGCGACGGGGAGGAAAAGAGAGGAGAGGCTTATTAATTGGCTACACGATAAAACGGTGTTAGTCCCCATCGGGCGGATCGCCGAGGACCCCCTCCGGTTCCTTAAGATATGGGGCCACGCGACTTCTCGACGCATCCGTATGCGTGTTCGCGCATTAGCCGAGCCGCGGAATGCGTTTTTCCCTTCCTCTCTTTTCGCCCGGATGGAGACTCGAGACGTCCCCGATGTCGGGTCGGGTCGAATCTCGCAATTGGCGGAACCGAGGTCGACGTCGCAAATTCTACGTCGTGTGACGTCAAAGGCAAATCGGTTGCCACAGAATGAAATCGGCGGTATTCCCCCGGGAATCGTTTCCACCGATTTCCGGGGTAGTACCGCCCTCGCTTTGAACCGTAAAAGCCCAAGCGCGTTGATACCCCGATTCCTATAAAATCCCCGAAGTTAAGCAACACGAGGTGCGGCTCCTCCTCGGATGGGTGACCGTCAGGGAGGCATCACGGTGACATGGTATCAGGCCTGATACCGGGCTATAATTCCACCCCAGACCCGCCCAAATACGGAAATCCTCTTTGAATCGCTGACTAGGGCAAAAGTCGACCGAAGGGGCCTCGAATGATAAGAGGTCAATTTCCGAGTCGAGAGGTTGACAACGTCCCTGATGTGTCCGGAGGCATAATTCAATTCCGGGCCCCTGGGTCCGGCGATTAAGCCTTGTATCGGCTGGATATGTACTTTTTCTTTATTATGATTGTTCTTTATCGAGCTCGTATCCAGCTCGGACCTCGGTGAGGTCGGGCATTTAATTTACCTCGGACCTACGCCGTGTCGATGGCGTATCGTGTAATGCTCCGGCCTTTTTCTCCTCCCTTCCTCTCGTTTCCTCCACCACCACCGAAGTGAGTACGAGCCGGAGCTATAGGCCGTAAGGGCTAACAAGGCGATTACTCATGCCCACCATAAGAAGAAGTTACAAGCCGGATTCGAAGGTTTATTGCGGCAAATGGCGAAATTTGTACCCCGCTAACGATCGACGCTGCTTTTTGCAGCGTCTGTCGCGGCCGCCTCTTCGGCCCGTGGACGGAAAGAGTCTCTTCGGTGACCGTTTTCGCATCTCTTGAGGCCCTTGAGGAAACTGCTCCCCCTGGGGATCACTTTAAACGGATCCTCAGATTTGATATAAACCTACGGCTTACCAATTCCGTGACCAATTAATCTTGCTAAATTGGGAAAATAGATCTCGGTACGATACTCCAGCTAAAGGGACGAGGCGACGAACGCTCATCACGGGGAATTGCGGCCGTCCCCTTACGCGATCACGCGGCAATTTGATAATCGAGGAAACGGCAATCTCGCGGACTGCGCGGATTTGATCTTTTTATCCTGAGGTCGAATCCGCCCTGGCTTTATTCCCCGTTACGCGCGCGTACGGATCGTTGGCCCAGGAGACGAGGGAGGAGGCCGAGAAAGAGAGAGGCCGGCTCTGGCAGAGCTCAGGTTCGAAGGAAGGTCTAATTAGATTTTAAGTGAGAAATTGAGCCTGCCGGCAATTTTAAGGAAGCTGAACGCCGCCCTGATTAATATCATTATGCGCTGCCCCTCTGCCGAGCGAACTTCTCCGGTGCACTGGCGGTGCATCGCTGCTGCACCGACCCAGCCTCCATCTCGGAGTAAGTCGAGGTCGAGGGAATTCACAAATCCCAGGTCTCGACCCGCAAAGGCATTAAGGTGGTCTGAAAGTGGAAGACGAAGTCAAAGAGGTCTCGTTCATGAAACACTTCCCCGAGCTGGGTGCACCGAAACGTTTCAAACTGAACAGCGTCAATATGGAGGCTATAAGTAAGGACCTGATACCCATAAAATTGCAATGGTTTAAAAATTTATTTATAGATATTTTTGAAATTTTGTATGAAATTTCACAGGTGTCAGGACCTTCCTCATAGCCTCCATGTTCACGTTATGAAGTCTGAAACGATTCGGTACCCCCAGTTCGGAGGAGAGTCAGATACGAGACCTCCTCGACGGCACTTTCGTCCCGCCTTAACTCTAGAGGTGAAAAATTGTTGGATTTCGGGATTCCTTGGATCCAGGATTTTTTCGTAAGCGAAACTCTCGAGAATATCGAGATGAAGTAGAATCTGGTAACTGAGCTGAAGGTTCGGCGACGCCTACTATCGATTCTAATCTAGTCGTACCGATTTCGTCCTTGGTAATATGCGACACACGTTGCAAAGTTTATTCTCGGGCGGAATTAACTTGCCTGCGGAAAGCGGAAAGCGCGGGCAAGAGTGGACCGGCAGGAATGCGAGGAAAAATCCCGACACGTCGTAATCGGCACCTGCACCTTGCAACAGATCTCAAGATTGGCATCGCGGCCATTAGAGCCACCTCAGCAGCTGGGAACGGACTTCCAGATCCTTGGCCGATTATCCAGGGAATAATGTCCGCGATAGGAGATCCTGTCGGGTTTACGCGTCCCGATCCAGGGAATAATTGGCCTGGGATCGCTGACAGCCTGACGGCATCATCAGCTCTGGATTCGCGATGGACGATTTCATTAAATCGCCTCCAGCTGCGACTCGATCGATCCGAATCCGCAGGACATCCTGGCGAAGGCTAGGCTCTAAGAAAAAGAACTTCATCGAGGGAAAGAAATCTTTCCCTAGGAGGTTCTCCCTATATGAACGGTTTAATAAGTGTTTAGTGCCGCCTTAATGGCGTCTCCAAGGCTTAATGATCGCGATCGTTTCCCTTAACGACCCCATCGATGAGCGTTCGATCCGCCCGACATTCGTGAACCCTTTGCCGTGGATCTTGAGAACGCTAACGATCCCTTCGATCCCTAGGTTGGATCGATCCAGGAGATCGAGTACCCCGATGACATCGAAGCTACCTCGAAACGTCAGGGAACTCGTTCTTGCCTCAACCCAGAACGAAGATCGGAAGAAGGCGCTGAAAGAGGATCCATCGGATGGGATTAACGATGAACACATCAGAAGTCATAGAGACTCGTACGTTCTGCAGCTTCCCTGAGCACTAATTGAGAGTCACCAGTTTCCTGCCGATGGGAATGGAGCTGCTTGTAGAAGTTAGTCAGTCGCGCGAGATTCGAAGAAGCCGATAAAGGGTTACCGAGCTTTCAGAGGAGTAACCAGGGTATGATGAATTGCTGAAAGGCTCCAATTTCTACCGTTGGTCTTCGCCATCCAAGAAGAGGATGCGTCTCTTCCGGCTGCGGAACACCCCTCCAGGAGCCTCTCGAAAACCCGTCGCAGCGACTTTGAAATCAGCTTCTCTCCGGTCCAGTTTGACAGGACAGGAAAATACAAAACCCCGCGACCATTGCTCTAACGCGTTCGCCTCTTTCCTCTCCCTCGGTCTTGCACTCTCCCTCCAACAAAGTTGCAGCAGCCACCGTAGATTCTGGACCACTTACTCCAGCGGACGTAGGCAAGCCGACCGTTGCAAACCCATCGAGCTAGATATCTCTTCCCCGTTACTAAACGTCCCATGAATATTCAAAATAACCCGAACTTTCCATTTCGACACTAGTCAGGACGATGTCCAAGGATGGAACCCGGTTGTCCGACGAGAATTAAACCGCCTGCTAGTCCTGCCCAAAGATCCTGGACGACGGCCAGCCATTAAGGCGACTCAACGCCAGGAATCATCGATTTCGTTTCACTTTGCCAGAGATTCGCCGAGTAGTTTCAAAATTGGATTCTCTGTTAGGGTTAGATACGACGTGAGAAACACAAAACCCAGAGACCGTTGCTCTCAAGCGTTCTCCTCGTTCCTCTCGGACTGGTACCGAGAAGCCAGCAGCCGTCCTCGAGTCTGGACCGTTTGTTGGCAAGGGAGCCAGACGCTGAAAACTGGATTTCAGTCCCGTAAGCAAGAGATCGGGAATTCCTCGAGGAAGAGAAGGAACGTGTCGGAGAGTCCACGCCAATCGGGTCTCCAGGCTGATCCCTTCCGGGGAACATCGAGATCTCACCCTTCTTCCGAGTTTCTCACGGCCGGAGACGTGAAAAAGGACTCCAAGGACCCATCATCGATGTCCAGGGAGAACGGCGCTCGAAGTAGCGGATCCACGACCGAAATCGTTCGCTGATTAAATCGTTGCTGGAGTGCCCGTTCTCGGAGAAGACAGGAGAAAACGCTCGAGGTGAGGCTAGTTTAATAGGAGGAGAGGTGAGGCTAGTTTAATGGGAGAAGAGGTGAGGCCACGCTGGTCCGGTTGGTTCCGAAGTGACCGGTGACCAGTGACCAGTAACCGGTGACCAACAACGGAGAAGGAGAGACTCCCCGAGTCCCAAAGGCTAGAACTCCTAGGGAATTCAGGGAAAACCGGTCGAGTCGGATCGAGAGCAC